ATTATTACATTAATAATTATTATAAAAGATATACAAATGGTTTGATGAGATATGGCAGAAGATACCTACCTCCCGAGAGGGCTTTTTATAGGAAACTAGTCCCTGTTACCTAAGTAATGTTTCTAACGTAAAAAAATCCCGAAAATCTCCACGTGGCCAGCCCATCATGAGGAGCCAACTCGCGACAAACTACTAGTGTTCTGTAGTTTTATCTATTCGGCCAGCACATCTAAAATGGAAATTATTTTAAATACATAGTTAATTGTATATCTTAACATTTAAGATATACTATTAATAAAACAATATATTCATACTATTTTATTATAAATAGAATGAAACAATTCGTAATTTATGTTCAAAAAATGTTTTTACTCTAAAGGCACTAAGAGAGCCTTTTCTCCATAGGCTACCTATCCAATAAAGTAATAAAAATGTTAAATTGTTTTATAATCAGTTGAAAACTCAATAGATGAACAGAAATTCATCTACAGAATTGCTCCCCTGCTTTCAGCAGCGCTAAATTTATCAAGAGGAAAAGTCCAATCTGAAGCAATAATTCAATGGACAGGATAGAAAGTGAAGAGTCTCTCTTGAAACAGTGCAGAAGAGAAAAATTTATCAAGGTAGTTCTTGATAAATTTTTACTTTGAAAATAATTGTTCTGCAGATGCAACAGATACCGATATATACGGTATATTTTCAATCAGGGGCGCCCATAGATTGAGGCACTTGGTGCACGTGGTTCGTCTAGTCTGCCCTTTTCCTCACCCTCATGGGGAACCCAAATTCTATTATCAACAAATAACAGAAAATTTATGATTTCTAACCTATTCTGTAAATATAAAAGAAAAAATAAACAATGTCCTACACAACTTCTTCGTATGTTGACGAAAACTTGGCCTTGAAAAGAAGGAATGTTCCGAGTTAGTCCGATTGCAACTAGTATCACTTTGTGGGAGCGCTGATCCGACATTGAATCATAGTTTGAAGCTTCTTACACAATGTATGATGCCCTTTTTAATAGTCTGCGGGCGCCATTGTTTTCAATAATTATTAATTTCATAAAACTACTAAAACATACCACCAAATTTGCAGTCCCTAACGTCGCTTTTTCATCTTAATGTAGAGTCGCCTCGGGATGTTCGCCTGGATTCTCCAAAAGCTGTAAGCTGAAGCCTTAACGGCCCCAGCCATAGGACATCTTCATTGAAATTTTGAAAGTTCTCATAACATAAATGTAAAAGTTAATTCTTTCATATTATTTGTCTACGCATAAAATAATCTCTTAATTATAACAAACTATTTGACAGTACTTTTACAAACCCCATCCTGTTTAATTACGTATATAATAGTACGTAATTATACAATTTACTCATGAACCCTTAACATTGAAGAAATGTCTTCATAAAAAATAAACGAATAATCATACATATCGTGGGTTTGGCCAAGTTTATAATGACGTGACGAGTGGTAAGATGCGGGACCCAATCAGTTTTAAAAAATTCCTGGGGTTTTTCGATCTCAAGTCTCCCAGAGAGGTAGGCTGACGCCTAAACCCTCCGGCCATCCAGCCGTAATAATTCCGATTAGATATTTGAAGAAAATAGAACTAATTCTATAAGTCTATATGATAATATGTTGAAAATATATGGGTCACAGATTTTCAGTTTTTTCCAGGTCAGGCCCTGTACACACTAGGCGTTTTTCAACGCGCGTTTAAGGCCCTGTACACACTAGGCGTTTTTCAACGCGCGTTAAACGCTCGTAAAACGCCGAGCTAACGCGCGTTAAACGCGCGTTAGCTCGGCGTTTGACGAGCGTTTAGCGGAGCGTGCGCACTGGCTCGGTTTGGAAATGGATGTGGAAGTGATTGCTTGTGTGTGGCTCCTCTATCGTCGCTATAAAAGACGACGGCGGAGGCAAAGAGAATTTTGGGTGCACCCAATATTACGAGATAGACTGACGCATGAAATGTTTGCGACGTTGTATCCAAAACTAAGACAAAATAAATTCAAGTTTTTTAATTCTTTTAAAATATCTATAAAATCCTTTGACGATGGTTGGTATCTTTTAGACCCTGTACACACTAGGCGTTTTTCAACGCGCGTTAAACGCGCGCTTTTAAACGCGCGTTTAAAAGAACCAAGAGTTCTATGTAGCCGTACACACTCAAAAGCCAAGCGCGCGTTAAACGCGCGTTTTGCGAGCGCTTATAGATTTTTGTTAAAACGCGCGTTTTGCGAGCGCTTTACGGGCGCTTTGAGATATATGTGCTGCCATGTTACCGTACATGCGATCGCGCGTTTTGCGGGCGTCAGCCGAGCGCTTTGAGATATATGTGCTGAAATGGAGAACGATCATTTCGATACTGATCTATTTATTGATGAAATCTAAAAGAGACCAACCATCGTCAAAGGATTTTATAGATATTTTAAAAGAATTAAAAAACTTGAATTTATTTTGTCTTAGTTTTGGATACAACGTCGCAAACATTTCATGCGTCAGTCTATCTCGTAATATTGGGTGCACCCAAAATTCTCTTTGCCTCCGCCGTCGTCTTTTATAGCGACGATAGAGGAGCCACACACAAGCAATCACTTCCACATCCATTTCCAAACCGAGCCAGTGCGCACGCTCCGCTAAACGCTCGTCAAACGCCGAGCTAACGCGCGTTAGCTCGGCGTTCGACGAGCGTTTAACGCGCGTTGAAAAACGCCTAGTGTGTACAGGGCCTCAGCTGGAAAAAGCAATAAAAGTTTTTGAGTAAAAGCAATGACATAACTTATTGCTAAAGTTTTATAAAATATAAAGTTTATAAAATAATTATTCCGAAATTTTAGTTAATTAAGAAGAATAGTTTGAAAAAAATTTTAAAAAAAGCTTAAAATATTAACAAGAGAATATAGGACGCAATTCTATACAAACTGGCAAAACTAGTGTCGTAGAATTTGAAATACTGTATAGTCAATTTATATAATTAAATAAGAGATCTTGATCTAATTATTTGTTGGATGCAATTTAAATTTAAGAATAAAATTAACTATTATCTGGCCAAAATATCATCATACATATTATACAACCTATATCGAAAGGCGTTTAAAATCATAAACAGAAATTGAAAGAAATTAGATGGAGTAAAAGCCGTCACAAATAACAGGGTACATTCCTCTCTAAACGTCATAAAAACATATGATAAAATGAATAAAGATAGGATTTTCGCTAATCATAAAAAAAAAAACTTTATATTGCCTTCCAGGGCCGGATTAAGCCACTTTGGAGCCCTAGACATTTTCTTCTTACCGGGCCCCCTCCCGGCTCTTTCAATTAATAAATCTTGTTAATATTATTTCTATTAAATCGCATACGGACACTGCAGCTGCTTAATAAAAAATAAAAGCAAAATTATTTAACAATATTTCACAGGATGTTAAGAATACATATAGATATACTTAATATTATTCTTATCGCTATAAAAAAAAATTCTAAATTATTGGAGTTTTACTTTCAATAAGAAGAAACATAAGAACACATTTTCTTTGGATTTTAGAATCCACAATAACCATATAAAAAGCAATATATTTTTGTTCATTATATACAGTTGTCCAACAGAAAAGTAAACTATCTTATTTACAAATCTTTTAAAAATAGACAGTTTGACCGGGCCCTAGACATTTATCTATGCGATGATCCGGCCCTGTTGCCTTCATATGTTCATACATATAAGACTGAATTTTGTCTGATGGGCGTGCCAATTTGTCCTTCTGACCTTCACCCAACTGGTCATGATTCTAAGTGTCGAGATAATGCTAAATTTTGTTTTCTAGATAAATAATTCTGTTGGAGACTATTCTCAAATGCATTTAACATACTGTAGTCCACAATCATTTCGAAATGATTGGATAGTCTGCATGTTAATGTTAAAAAACTCATATGAAACAGTTTGTCAACTGAATAACACGTTGAATAATAAAATAAAAATACACAAATACTGTTATATAAGATATTTTACGAAGATAAAATAAATCAAAGACGTGCTTTAACAAATGTAACTCGTAAGATACCACGAGCACGATAAACACGTGGAACATGCGGAGTGATAAATTTAACAGGTCCGCCTCTAAACCACTCGTCACAATACGATTGGATGAAATAAATATAAATATTACTAATTCAAAAGCGAAAATAACCATATATTATTTAAAATTACTTCGTATGCAATCGTTTTATATTACAAAAATCATAATAGTTAAATATTCTGTAAAGAAATACTCGAAATTATCGAGAATTATTTGGCGTAAAGTATTGATCGGAAGGATGTTGGTCGAGTAGCGGTCGTGGCTCGATTGTCAAACCATGGGAGACATGAGGCGGTTGACTTTGATCGCGATTTTATTTTTCGCTTTTTTTAATTTCCTAGACCTTGTTAAATGTCAAGATGAAGATCAAGAAGAAGGTACGTTTCGTCTCGATGGTTTCCATTAAATGTATCGCTTTATGTCTTTTGTTTAGATGCGTGTATTGTACAGTACTTGTATAAAATGTAAACAGTAAGTGTGTGATCAGTAAAAGTAATTTTTAAATTGCATTTCATATTTAATGAATTTATCTTTTATCGTAATGAATGTACGCTTTACTTACACGTGTTTTATAAATGATTATTTTATATTACATTTAACTGAAATTGAAATCTATTTCAATTATTCCACGTGTTATTGATTATTTGATATTTATTTTTAAGCAATACACCGACGTTTTCTCTCTAAATTTTATTTATTAAATAAGCAGATGATTTTGTGTGAAGATTTAAAAGATAAAGAATGAAATACTTGAAAAATATGCATTATTAAAAACGATTTTTATGCTCCGATAAAACAAGAATTTATACATATTTTTATAGAATGCCTGTTTATTTCTTCTAATGTAAATTGTAGTCTCGGAAATTTTTGTGTGTGGTTTTAGAAACTTTGAAATGTGATTGTTTCAAAGAAGATGGTTAAACTCTGCCTACTGGTCATTTTACATAAATGGTCACATTTTCCCAGTCTTTTCAATCTTCTATAGAATCTTCTGTAGCATCTACAGAAGATTCATCATGCCATCATTATATTGCATCTAGTTGTAACTCTGGTTAACTAGTCAAAGTTAAAGTCAAGATGAAGCTTTCCTATGTACATTTTTCACAAAAATGGTATTAATATACTTTTTGACAAAAGCAGATGGCTGGAGAAAAAGGATTCTAGTACTTATTTTATATTCTTTCTATCTTCATGCTGTAAAGTCATACTCATTGTGATTTTGGCAAAACTCTCAATCAAGATGGCCGGGTGGTGAGATATAGGATCAGACATATCAACTTAGTACTCATCCATGAAGTTTTCTGGCTTAAACTTAAACCTGTGTCTGTAGAGTGGCAGACAAATGCCATTATTGCCATAGTCATCCAGCTGCCAAATTCTAGTATTTTATAGCAGGAATTCATTCTCTCCGCTGTTTGTTGTTCAAAGTGCCTCAGATGACTGCAGCATCTGTGTCTTTTTTAAATGAGAATAAACAAAATTGTTTTTAGAGAATATCAGTAATGAAATATAAGGTTTCAGTTTCATCCCTTCTATATTTCTTTTCCAGAATCTGTTACTTTGGCATCAAATAGAAACATAGATGACAATTAAGTCAGCTAAATTAAAAATTGTCTTTTTGGCCACTTTTCTTTAAATTTTTTTACCAAACAATCTGTCAGATTTTTATCGGGTTAAATTAAGATTATTAGCCTTGATAAAGCCTGATAAAAATATGGCAGATTATTTGGTATTACTAATGTATTGGTTTATGCATGTTATTTTATAATTTTTATACTAACCCCCAAAGTGTGCTTAGTGGAGCCAATGTATAATTTTTAATAAAATTTTTACTTTCTTTCATACTTTGTATTACAATTTAAAAAATGTGGCAACTATGATGTCTTTTTATACATATTTTGGCTATTTTTTTTGGTCAAGAATGCCAGTGTCAATAGTTTAGTCTCTGACTATGATTTGACAACAACATGGCATATGATTTTCAGCGTAAAGATGCTGTAGAAACTAAAACTTTCATCTTTGGAAGAAAAGATAAAAATTGAATATTGTTATTGTAAACAAAACTGCAAACAGAGGATAACTTTTGCAAAAAAGTATATAATCTCTAACTAATGCTGGAAATTTATCAAATGAAATTCCTATTGGATTTAGTAATTATGAGAACATTAAATAACAGTAGTGGATCCAGAAGAATTAGATTCTTCTGGAGGAGGAAGGAAGGCTAAGAGAAGAGGGCTAATTTAAAAATATTTGAATAATTAATAAGTACAAGATGGTTGTATTGCTGATGATCTGATAAATCATATTGCCATGATAAGTGTTTTTAAAAATGTTTTGAAGTTTGAACAAATAAATTTTACTTTTTTTTGTGTTAATGGAGAGGGCTTAAGTCCCTGTAATTACCCTTTGGATCTGCTACTGTTACATAAACCAAGTTATTCTCTTGTCTACAGTGATTGAGATAATGATAATGTTGTAAAAGTTTCTTTTTTCTTAAATAGACAGCATCGTCTGAGAAGTTATCTTCTTCCTTTGAGAGATAGCAATTCAATAAGCTCAATTTCCAGTTATTTAGAATTAACATATTTAGTCATAAGAGTGACTTATGAAACATCATTGACATCACTTGATTCATCACAAGAAATTGAGAAGCTTGTATCTCACAGAATATTCTTAATCAGCTGAGAAAGTAAAAGCTTAAAAGTAGAGATTGCATTACTGGTAAAATATACTGGTAATTTGATATTTTTTTAACTGGAAAATTTAGTAAAAATAGATAAACCTGTAATAATTTCTTTAAGCCAAATATTTTTGTATACACTTTCATCATGTCAGTATATATATAATATATATATGCTAATCAGTTTGGCAATATGTTCCTTTACCTGTATTACCTAAAGTGCCAAAAGCAATTTTAGTTGAGCACAAAATGGAACAAATTTATTTGAATGTGAGTGCTTTTTGAGTGGCTACTTTTTAAGCACAGAAACTGACAGCTGGATGGCCAAGTGGTAAGGCAGCAGCTTACCCCTCTAGGAATCTGGGATTAAATTTGGACGGGTAGAAAATTCCCAGGAATTTTTCGTGAGGTGGTCCATCTAGATATTTTGAGCTCTGTCCCTCACCACCCAGCCGCCCCATTGGCCGAACTCATAATGGGCTTGCTAAAAAAGGCCCTCTTAGTGCCCACAGGGCAGAAAGAGTTTTAAAAAACTTAAAAAATTATAGCATGTTCCATTTTTCAAATAATAAACTTTCTTTTCAAAATAGAAGAAAGGGAATTCAATTTGACCTAATGCATTAATCATTATTTAGTTTCTGACTCTCTGATCAGTATACTAATTTTTGCATTTGGATAATATTTTAAAACCAGTAATAAAAAAAAGTTGATAAATTTGTAATCCCTACTTTAAAACTTACAATCAAATCCTAAAATGGAACATTATATACTTGAAATGCAACCTTGATGGAGATGAGGATAATAATTCATGCATAAGATAGTCATTTTGTATTCAGATTGCTATTACAAATTTTTGTGAACAATTGTAATGTAATTTCTATCTTTTCATTATGTAGTGTGGCATAGTAGAGCCACACATAATTATTCATAAGCTTTTAAAATATGTATTTCAATATGAAATCTGTAATTATTTTACAACAAAAAGGAGCATTTTCACTGACATAAATTTGCATTTATAAATTTCTGCAGATTACATTTTATAAATGTAATCTGCAGAAAACTGATTTGATGATACTAAAGTAAATGGCCATCAGTACAAAAAATATTGTTATACTGTTTTATCTATGGCTTATAGAATATAGATATCTTACAATAACCATTCTGCTAAGATGTAGTATTATTTCATTGTAACAGCTTACATTAGCAAATTTCTGCTGATCTATCAATGGAGGTATTCTATGTAGAGAAGGCATGGGAGCCACATATTATTCTTAAATGAGCTGAATGTGGTTCTAGAGCTGCAGACTGCTGACCATAATCTATATGGTCAGCACCTGAAGCTCATCTAACTCATGGCTTTTATTACCAGTTTTTTTATCTGTAGGTTTGACATATTTAGTCAAAAACTCATTTCCATAATAAGATTTTAAGAAATCTGGAGTTTAAGGATGATTTTAACCTCTTTGGTTATGCATATGATTTCCAGCAGATGGCATTTAAAATATAATGCTTTTTCCATGAGAAAATTCTTTTCCAAAAAGTTCTCAAAAATCAAAGCAGATAGAATATAATAGTTTGTTGTAACAGAATCCCAATGGTTTGTTGCATTAGAATCTTATTTAATTCTTTACTAACCTGCAGTTAAGAATTTAAAAAATTGGATTTGTTAATTTTCTATGAATTTTTAAATTTGTGGAAAATTTGAGCCTCATTTCTATAATTGGTCTATTAAGATTTGTTAACATGCACATGCAGCGGCAGCCTTATCCATTGCGAGGCTCTGGGCGGCAGATCTTTGCGAGGCCCTTGTCCTTTGTGCAAAGTATGTGAATTGAAATAGTAGGCACTTATTAATATTAATATATACTGTACTATAAATTAAATTTATTTTATTGTTATAACTAATAGCCAAGGATAAAATAAAAAGTTTTAAATATCAACTTTTTTCTACTTGGTTGTTGCGCGAGGCCCCTCCAAGAGCGAGGCCCCGGGCGATTGCCCTGCTCGCCACCCCCTAAGGCCGCCACTG